CAGCAGGAGCAGCCTGAGCCGTCCACAGGAAAACAAAAGAGAATTCCTGAGCCGCTCCTTCTATTCACGTCTTTATTAATAGAGAAATATTTGTCGAGTTAAATCAGAGTTGCATCCAAAACACGAACCATAAAAACGACTCGTGCCGCGAGCCTGGCGTCCGACCGCGCTGCTGCGAAGGCGTTTGGTAACTGTTTCCTCATGAGGTGATGCTGGAGGCGCTTTGGCGCTAAGGCAGCCCGCGGGCGTCCTTCATGTGTGACAACCGTCTGTATTTTAATATTTGTTGTGGGTCGCCTGAGCACACGCTCACAGTGAAGGACATCCTGCCCATCTGAGCCCAGCTGCTCTGCGGTGAAGGTGTGTGTGAGCAGGGCTGCACTAGGTCAGCCTGACTCTGCATTAGCACAGCTGAGTGTTTCCTGTCTGACGGTCTGGCTCAGCTTTCGTTAGATTTAAACAGTTATGAACTCGCAGCTTCGCCGTGCCACAGGAGCTCATGTCAGTCTTCTTCTCTCTGCAGCGTGAGGAGACCCTGAAGCAGAAGAAGGAGCTGTCGCAGGAGCTGGCCAACCTCCGGGACGAGCTGGGTAAGAACGTCCGGCCTTCTCACGCCGCCTTTTTGTTTGTCCTTCTCCCTCTGTCCCATCCATTTGCATACAACGCACACTCGTACGAAGCTTATCAAGGACGGGACAACTGCCATTCAAAGCGGCGCTGTAACGCCGGTGCAGCTGCTGCTTGTTCTTAGGAAGAAAAGAGACTCTTCCACGCAGGCTGTAACCTGTCGGCACGTCCGTCAGGTGCTCGGTGCACCTGTGCTCTCAGGAGGCGTTCTCCATGGATCCACCAGGTCTCAGACAGGAGCGGCGGCGAGCTCGTAGGAGTCACACTGGAACACGAGTGTAACTGATACAAAGACGTTTCAGACCTGCAAGAGTTTAATGGATTAAATGGCACCGCCACTGAACTGTGTGTTTGTTTATATATCTTTGTGGGGACCGACAGCAATTATAGGGACTACATCCAGGTCCCTGCAAGGTTGAAGGTTTTAGTGACGTGTCAGTTTGTGTTTTTGGAGGCCACCGTCATGGCGGTCGATTATTGCGTTAGGTGTATTACACTAATACTGTTTAGTATTGATTAGATATAGATTAGTAAAGTTTGATGCCGCGTCTGTAAGGAGGACTCGTGGAGTATCTGCTGTTAAGCTCGCGGCCGCCTCGTTCCTCTTAAAGTATCATCTGTGAATTGGCAGCGAGGACACGCCTCCACGCAGTTCCCGTTTAAGAGTCGCACAAACATTCAGGTCACTGGAAATAACATCAGTGTGTCCTAAATACTGATACTGCTGCGTGCGCCTGAGAGTGGATCAGGAACACCCGGATAGCTTAGCATGACACACACACACACACACACACACACACACACACACACACAC